TGACAGGGAAAGGTGTACAACCACATCGCGTTGCCTGTAACCAAAGAACCACCCCTCAACCACAGAGAGAGGTTTACAGAAATTCGTGGAAGTTGGGAAATTCCCAGGTAAGGGTTCCAGGAACAGCCCTAGCACTGTCTGTGTGCCATCAGCACCCTCAGTGCAAGGGAGGCAGAGCCACTGCCAAGGGACACTCGGGTCTGCCATGTGGCATCTGAATCAGGCAGGGAGATGGGACTTACCCAGGATGCTGCTAGAAAAACAGATGTGGAAAATACAGGATGAATGATAAATAAGGGAATTGGGTGAGGATGGTAAAATCTCCTCACCAAGGACAGGAATGACAGAGGAAAGCAAGGCACGGATGTGAGGAGTTCCCTTGTACCTTGACAGGGGCAGGAACAAAGCTGGGGCCACACAAGAAGTGACGGGAGAAGCCATGGAATCATCTAATCCCAGAAAGGTTTGGGTCAGAAAGACCTTGAAGACCACCCAGCTCCATCCCCTTGCCATGGGCAGGAACACTTTCCACCAGACCAGGCTGCTCCAAGCCCCATCCAAGCTGGCCTTGGCCATGCCCTGCCTTTTGGGGGGAGTGGCAATGCCTCACCAAGTGCACACCCCAAAAGGAAGGCAGCAAACTGCAGGCTGCTCTGGAATTACACTCCCCGGAGAACCCAGAGCTGTTTTAGGTGAGCACACCAGACTGGCTCCATCTCAGCAGTGGACAAACCAACTCGAGACACACTTCCCACTGCTCGGCCCTCTGAGCTCAGCAGCCAGAGCTCTCAGTTTCACAACTGTGGGGAAGCAGTTTCAGGGGCAGCAAGTTTCACAAGGAGCAGCTGGGTGAAATCTCACTGTGTCCCCTGTGAAGCCAGGGCTAATTCTCTTTTTAAGGCTCCTATTTCTTTCAGGTGAGCTACCAAAGAAACCCTTCCCAGGACCAGAAGGCAGCAGCCCTGTGAGCTGGAGCTCCTCATCCTCTGTCCCTGACACAGGAGCAGCTTGCTGGAACAGAAGAGTTGGGGATCGGTACCTCAGAATCACAGAATGGTTTGGGCTGGGAGGGACCTTACAGCTCAACCTGTCTTAAACCCTTCCATGAGCAGGGACACCTTCCACTAGACCAGGCTGCTCCAAACCCTCTCCAGAATTTGGATCCCTGACCATTTTCTTCCCTAGGACGCAGACAACTCAGCAGAAGCGCAAGAGCACAGCTCAGCAGAGGCCCAACAAGACAAATATCTGTTTCTCCACAGCCCTGCTGCCTGATCCACACATGGTGCAGCTCCACACCAAGCCTGCAACTGCTCTGGCACCAGGGACACTCCAAACACATGGCAGCTCGCCCGGCTGGGTGATCATTTTTGGATTATGTAATCCCAATACATTATTATTAGCCCAAGAACAAACTCGAGCAAGGCACCGAGGACATTTCCCTGCCCGCGCTGGCAGAGGGACAGAGCCCCGTCGCAGGCACGGCACGGACGCGCTCCCCCGGTGCCCCAAACAGGTCAGACTGCACACGCTGGGCTCCAGGTAACACAAAGAGCAGGATTGGATTCCAGGCCATTATCCGTATTACACAACGCCGCCATCGGTTCCACCGCGTTTCAGACCGAGCCCGGCGCGAGCAGCCCGAGCGAATTTTTTCCATGGAGCCGCTGCAGCCCCAAAGGAAAGCGGAGCTGGAGCTGGGCTGGACAAACAGAAGCTGCAAAGGTGTGCTGGGGGCGGCTCCGGGCAGGGCAGGGCCCGCAGCTTCCCAGGAAGCCCAGACCTTCCCCAAGCCGGGGAAACTGTTTATAGAACCCATGCAGAACGAGCATATGTGTTTAATAGCCCACTAATTGTTGCGTTATTCACTACACAAACAAGCAGCTCTTCTGCCCTTATCCCTTCCTGCCCAGTTAATCACCAGGAGCCTCTGACTATTTCTCTTTTGGGTGGCGGTGAAGGAAGCAAAGTTCATTAGTGGCCGTTGGCCACCAAACAATCCCGAGCCCAGACTTCATTTAGAAAATAAACACCACTATTCATGTGTGACACGGACTCGGAATAGCTTCCCAAAATATTTAACGCAGCTGCCTGTAGTCTTCCTACTCTCCCTCACCCAAAATAAAAGCCTTTCCCAATATATAGGAAAGAACTATTTGGATTATTTGTTCCATTTTCCAGAGAGAAAAAAAGCTAATAATTCAGTCTACCCAAGTCACTTATTCCTCCTGACTTCTCATAATGCTGATAAACACTCATTAAAATATAAGTTGATAAACCCTGGTACAGTCATTACCTTCGTCCTCATACAGAGATTGCCCAATTCAGTGATGTGATGTAACCAACACCCTAAATTAAAAATAGTGTTGTGACAACATATGGTTTATCCTACAGAAGCTGGCAGGCAGGACGCTCCTAATGACAAACGGGTTTAGGCTCCCAGCTTCCCCCAGCAAGGTGAGGAGACAGAAATGCTCGTCGCAGGATCGGAGGCGGAAAGAAAAAATACAATAAAAATAAAATTACACTAAAAAATGACAGTTTTGAACCCCTCTCCGGTCCATCCCAACACCAGCTGCCGAGCTTTTGCCATTATTCTCTATTTACATGACTAATAAGCTCTCTGGACGCATTTCAAGGAAACGGCACGGAAAAGACAATCTGGAAATTTCAAAATACAGTCTGAACGTGCCTCCCCCCGCTGCCGGGAGGGGAGCACCGACCGGCGGGGACGAACAACCGGGAGCACCGGGGAGGGGACAGCGATGGGGGGAGCCCCCAGCCCGGGATGGCAGCGCCGGGGACGGACCCGCCGCCCCCCCCGGCTTTGCAAACCCACGTCACGTTCACCGGGGAAACGGGAGGGGGGTTGGGGGCACCGACGTCCCTGGGCCCCTTCCCCAGGCACTCACGGGGACTGACGGCAGCTCCTCGTCACCTCCCGGGGGCACCGAGCGCCCACCCCCGCACCGGCACCGCGGGGCCCCTGTCACCCACCGGGGGTCCCCGCGCACCCACCGGGGCGGCGGCACACGGGGGTGCCCCCGGCGATCACCGGGGCGGGGAAGGGGAGGCACCGACAGCTCCCGGTGCCCCGCGGCACTCGGCGGAGGATCGCGACCCCTCCCCGGTCACTCACCGGGGGGCCCGGGGGGACCCCGCAAACAGCGCCGGGGATGAGGAACACACCGCGGTGCTCCGGGGCGTTACCGGGAGCGGCACCGCGGGGTCTCCCCGGTGTCCCGCAGGCACCTGGCACCGGGATCGCCCCCCCACCCCATTCCCCGTTCCCCGGTCACTCACGGACGGGGGGGGGGGCGGGAGCCTCCGCACGCCCTCAGCCCTCACCAGGGAGTCCCCCCGCCCCGGGCCACGCAGCCACGCCACGAGGGGCTCCCCCCTCTCACCTCCCCTCACATCCCCGCCGCTGCCGCCCGCAGGGCTCCGTCCGGGGGCCTCGTGGCGGCCGCCCGCTCGCCCTCGGCGGGGCCGTGCCCGCCGCCCCTCGCCCGCCAGCCCCGTACCTTACAGGCCTGGTAGCTCTCGAAGGCGCGCAGGGCGCTCTCCGTGAGCTTGACGTGGAAGACGGAGACGCGGGTGCCGCGGCCGAGGCGGCCGCAGGACAGCCCGTACCCGCGCTCCGCCTGCAGCGCCGCCATCTTGGGACCGTCTCCCCCTCCGCGCCTGGGCCGCCGGGGCCGCCCGCCGCCGCCACGCCCCTCCTTATGAATTATTCATGATGCGCCGCTCCGCCGGCCACGCCCACGCGGGGCGCCTGTTGCTGGGGCGAGGAGGTGGGCAGCGGGAGCGCCGATTGGCTGGGTGATGCCGGGCGCCGCGCCGGATTGGTCCGTGGGGAGGAGGAGGCGGGGATATGTAAATGAGGGCGCGGGGCATGCTGGGGAGGGTGGTCTGGCGCAGCCGGGGAGCGCTGCGGGAGCGTGGGGAGGGGGCGGCGGGAGCGGAACCCCCGGTGTGAACCCCCGGGAGTGAATGAACCCCCTGAGCCACCCCGGGGAACGAACCCTCCGGGTGGGAACGCCCTGCAACCCCTTGGCATCAATTACCCGGGTGTGAGCCCCAAGGCATGAACGCTCTGGGCCCCCAGGTGTGAGCCCCCCAGGTATGAACCTCTGGATCCCCAGGTGTGAAATCCCCAGGTGTGAGCCCCCCCAGTCATGAACCTCTGGATCCCCAGGTGTGAGCCCCCCAGGTGTGAACCTCTGGATCCCCAGGTGTGAGCCCCCCAGGCCTGAACCCTCCAGACCCCCTTGGGCATGAGCCCCCAGGGCATGACACTCCGTGGTGGGCACCCCCTGTACTCCCCCAGGTGTGAATCCCCCAGGAATGAACCCCCCAACCCCGCAGACCTCCCTGAGCCCCAGGTAGAGCCTGAAGGTTCCAGGGCTGATTTTGGGGTGCCAGGCTCCCCCCTGAGCATCGCCCCCCTGCAGATTCTCTGTGTCCCCATGTGCGGCAATAAACAGGCCGGAAAGTGAAGGAATTGTCCTTTATTTGGGAAGTTCACAGTCAGTTTGGGGTGCGAGGACAGTGCTACAACCCCCCCATGAGCAGAGCTGAGGCTGGGCAGGCGCTGGGGGGGCTGCAGGGCAGGGAGGGACCCCCGAGGGGCTCGGAGCCAGGGGAAGACAGCCTGGACAGGGGGTCTGCAGCGCTCCCTCCTCCATCCCTCCCACCGCGGGTTTCTTTGGCTTCCTTTGGACATTGCGCGCTCCAGGGATGTGCAGGGGAGGGCAGCGGGTGCCTCCGGGAGGGCCGAGCCCCTGGCAGCCCCCAGGAATCAGGGAATGTCGCTGCACTGCCCCCTGGGCACATCCACATCGCTGCCCACACCTTCCTCCTCCGTGCCACCCTGTCCTGGCAGCAGGGATGGGCACGGCCAGGCCGTACCGGGGAGAGACCCTCAGGGCTGGGGCTGAGCCCCTGACTGCCGGCAGGCCGCCCGGGGGTCCCTGCTCTGCCAGCACCCCCTGCCCACCCCGCGCCAGGAGGGGTGCGGGGAACGTCGGGAGAGAGATCCGGCGCCTCCGGCACAGAAAGCATCCGTGGGGCAGCGAGCCCGCGGGGAGGAAGGGCTGGCACAGCCCGGGGGCAGCCCCTCGGCACAGAGAGCCGGGCCCCGGCACCGCCCCTGTGCCCGGGGGCCGCCCCGGTGCCAGCCTCAGTTCCTGGCGGCGATGACCACGGACAGGGCCACGCCGCCCAGCGCGATGGCCGTGGCGCCAAAGAGCCACTTCCAGGGGATGGACTGCGGGGCAGAGCACGGGCAGGGACGTCAGGGGCCGTGCCCGTGGCGGGGACACGTGCCACCCTCCCCGCCGGACGGGGCATCCCAAAAAGGGACAGCGTGTGCCGCCAGCTGACGGCGCTGCCCGGCGGGAGCGGGAGCAAAGTCCGGGGCGTGCAGCTGGCACGGATGGCTGGGATCCACGGGCACGCGCTGCCAGGGCACAGGCTGTTATCTGTTATCTGGGAGGTGCCCTGGGCACGGCTCCCGCAGCGCGGGCCCTGCTGCCAGCGGGATCCTCACACTGCATGGGCTGGGTCCCTGCTGGGGACCTGGGGGACACTGACACAGCCCTGTGGGTCCCTTGGGGGACACTGACACAACCACTGTGGGTCCCATGGGGGGGCTGTGTCCCTGCTGGGGGACACTGACACACCCCTGTGGATCACCTGGGGGACACTGACACAGCCCTGTGGGTCACCTGGGGGACACTGACACAGCCCTGTGGGTGCCATGGAGGGCTGGGTCCCTGCTGGGGGACACTCACACAGCCCTGTGGGTCCCTTGGGGGACACTGACACAGCCCTGTGGGTCCCATGGGGGGCTGTGTCCCTCCTTGGGGACACTGACACAGCCCCTGTGGGTCCCTTGGGGCCCGTGTCCCACCTGGGGGACACTCACACAGCCCTGTGGGTCACCTGGGGGACACTGACACAGCCCTGTGGGTCCCCACCCCACCCCAGAGGCCTTCCTTACCCAGGGCAGTTTGTCTTTGCACTTGCTGGGGGTGCTGGCGGCGCTGGGGTTCCCCAGCATCTTCCTGTACATCTCGGTCTCCACGTTCCTCTGGTCCGCGTGCTTCTTCACCAGCTTGGAGAGCTCGGCGTGGATGGTCTGGGGAGGAGAGCGAGCTCTGCTCAGCCCTGCACCAGCCCTGCCCGCCAGGGAGGGGACCCACAGCACGTCCAGCACCCCTGGGATGTGCAGCTGGGGGGGGGACGAGGCCTCATCCTGCCCCACATCCCAGCTCCATGGGGACACTCTGTGGGGCCAGTGCCCCTCTGTCCTTTCTGGCTGCTCAAGCAGAGCCCAGGGCTGATGCCAGGCACCAGGGAAGGGATTTTATCCTTTAATCGAGACGGGAAAGTGTCTGCCTTGAGCACAGACGTGCACCAGCCCTCCCACTTTCTGTCTGGGAAAGCGGCCTTAAAGCTCAGCCTGGTGTCAAGTGGGATTGCAGCAGGACCCACAGCGTGCCCACACCTGCCCTGCCGGGGCAGGAAAAGGCTCTGAGCCCTGCGTGGGGCCCACGGGCTCCCCAAAAGCAGCAGGAAGCCCCGGGCGGGGCAGGGTGGCACAAGGACGCTGCGGTGGCCCTGGTGGCACGGCCACGCTGTGCCCTCTGCTGGGGGACGCGTGCCCACGGCACAGCTCTGCCAGCCGGGCAAAGCTGCCGCCGACACAAAACCTGGGTGTCTGGAGGACAGAGCCCCTGCTCGGAGCTCACCAGGGCTGTCGCAGCAGTGCCACAGGGGTCACGGGAGGGACGTGTGTGACAGCCTGGCGGAGGCAGGTGGGGCCCAGCACTGCTGGGTGTTTTCAGCACCGGCGGCCCCTGAGTCACCGGGGCTGCCCCTGGAGCCGGGCAGCAGCCGGGGAGGGCAGCAATTTGCTGTCCTTGTGGTTTCACTGGACACGTCACTGCCGGGCACTCGGATTTCCCAGCCCTCTCCAATTAAAGCTCCACCGGAGCTGCTGGGGATGGGAGCAGCCGCCCTGCCCAGGGACGTGCCAGGGGAATGTTCCCCGTGCTGCCCCCTCTGCACCCTGGCCTCGATGGCAAACAGAGGGTTTGGGGTCCTGCTCACCCTTCCCAGGGAGCTCAGAGCAGCCCCGAAGGTGCTGTGGGGCCACCAAGCACCTGCTTGTGCCACATCCCACCCGCGACCTTCAGGGACTGGATCGTGGCACAGACCCTGGTGAAACCCCCGTGTGAGAAATGGGCACAGCAGATCCAGACAAGGATTACAGCCCATCTGGAGAGCCAGGACCCCCAGGACGCCCCTGTGCAGGCAACACCTCCCCGTCTCCTGCCAGTCTCGCTCCTGCGGGGGTCATTTCCTGGCACTGCTTCTTGATTCCTCCCCAGGCTCCAGCCCTGCAGCTGATCATTAACTGACAGGAAATTCCTGACCCAGAGCTCGCCCTGCCCGGGCGCTGGACCGAGGGCTGGCTGCTCCCAGCCCCGGTGATTCACTCTGGGGCTGCCCAGCCAGTTTGTGGGGACCCAGCTGTGCCCCACTTCCCCCGGCCGCAGCACAAACTGCCCGAGCCGCCTGGGCCAGCCTGGACCCTCCCCACGGCAGGGAGATGGGCTGGCAGAGACTCCTGTCACCAGCAGGACCAAAGGTCACCAGGGAACCTCACGGCGTGGAGATAAGGCTGGAGAGCAGCCCAGCCACACTGCACGTGGGGCATCCTTCCCCAGGCTCTGGGGGCTGTTCCCCTCATTCCCCAGGCTCTGGGGGCTGTTCCCCTCATTCCCCAGGCTCTGGGGGCTGTTCCCACCCTTCCCCAGGCTCTGGGGGCTGTTCCCCTCATTCCCCAGGCTCTGGGGGCTGTTCCCCTCATTCCCCAGGCTCTGGGGGCTGTTCCCCTCATTCCCCAGGCTCTGGGGGCTATTCCCCTCATTCCCCAGGCTCTGGGGGCTGTTCCCACCCTTCCCCAGGCTCTGGGGGCTGTTCCCACCCTTCCCCAGGCTCTGGGGGCTGTTCCCCTCATTCCCCAGGCTCTGGGGGCTGTTCCCCTCATTCCCCAGGCTCTGGGGGCTGTTCCCACCCTTCCCCAGGCTCTGGGGGCTGTTCCCACCCTTCCCCAGGCTCTGGGGGCTGTTCCCCTCATTCCCCAGGCTCTGGGGGCTATTCCCACCCTTCCCCAGGCTCTGGGGGCTGTTCCCCTCATTCCCCAGGCTCTGGGGGCTGTTCCCCTCATTCCCCAGGCTCTGGGGGCTATTCCCCTCATTCCCCAGGCTCTGGGGGCTGTTCCCCTCATTCCCCAGGCTCTGGGGGCTATTCCCCTCATTCCCCAGGCTCTGGAGGTTATTCCCAGCCTCCCTTCATGGAGTTGGGGGCAGCTCTATGGAGTCTCAGCCTCTCAGGGGCAACACTGAGGTTTGTAGGGACAGGGACAAGGGAGAAGAAGCAGCACCCAGCAGACCCCCAGCCCAGGGGGAGCACGGGCAGCACACACCTCCAGCCTACCTTGTTGGAAGGCTCCAGCTTCAGGGCTGCCTTCAGGATGGGAATGGCCTCTCTGTACTCTCCCTGCTGAGCCAGCACCTGCAGGGTGACAGGGGACGGAGCAGGGTGAGGTCTGTCCTTCATCCCTCACCACACCACGGAGAAAGAGACCCCTCCTCACCTTCCCCTTCCTGAAGAGAGCCTTGATGTTCCCCGGCTGGTGCTCCAGCACCAGGTTACAGGACTTGAGAGCTGCCTTGAAGTGGTCCAGCTTGAGCTGCGAGGCCGCCAGGTTGTTGAGACACTTCACCTTCACGTCCAGCAGCTCGGCCTCCTCGTCCGGGCTGAAATCCACTGCACACCCGCCCGGGGCAGGTCACAGCAGGGCCACGGGCCCGGGGAGCCTCTCTGGGTGGGGACAGGTACCTTTGGAGCTGGAGCCCAGGATCCTGAGGGCGATGTCGTACGAGTTGACGGCCAGCACGTAGTCTGCCTGCTGGTAGAAGAAGTTGCCGCGCTCCCGCTTGCGGTTGGCCAGCCGGATCTTCTCCTTGCCGGTGAGCAGCTCCAGGTCTGGGGCGTCCCGAGCCGCCAGCAGCTCCACCTCCAGCGTGAGGGACGCGTTGGGGGGCACCTCGGGGCTCCTGCACAAAGCCATGGCACCGCTGTCACCCCCCGGCTGCTGCTCTGAGGGTTTGGCACCGCAAAATCCAGCTCAGGAATCCCTGATGTGGACATTTCCCCTCGAGATAGGACACCCTGCTCGTGGTCAGGAGCCAGGGCATCCCTCTGGCTGTCCTGAGCAGCCAAGGGGTCTCGGAGGGGTCTCTGAAACCCCCCTGCCAGGGGTTTCCATTGTCACCCCCCAGGTGCTGCTCTGAGGGTTTGGCACTGTGAAACCTCAGTTCAGAAATCCCTGATGTGGATATTTCCACTTGAGATAGGGCACGCTGCTCATGGCAAGATAGGTGTCAGGAGCCAGGACATCCCTCTGGCTGTCAGGGGGCTCAGAGACGCTGGCACAGAGCCCACGATGCCCCTGTGGGTTTGATTATGACCCGTGGAGCAAGTTACCAACCTTAGATGAAGATCTGCAAGCCACAAAAAATTAAGTGGAATGATAGTGAATTTATCACGGGGTGGAAAAGTAGATTTTGGGGTTTTTAAACTGGGGGTTCAGGGGGCAAGATGGAGGGAACTGGGTGTGTCCAGCCTTTCTCCTTCCTCTTCTTGGCCTCCATCTTCTGCTGTGATGGTGGCACTTTTGGATTGGTTTAGAGCAGAAGCTCACTGTCTAACATAGGTGATAGGTATTGGGAAGGAACTGTAAACATTGTACATGCAGTTTTTAGTATAGAAAGACAATGCTGCCCCAGGGGCAGGCAGAGTGCCTGGAACTGTCGTGCTGGAGGGACCTCGGCAGGACAGGAGAAAGAATTTTATAGATAAGATACAATAAACAACCTTGAGAGCAAGAAATGAAGAGCCCTGACTGCTTCTTCAAGCACCAGGCTGGGAAAAGAGACTTTCTAACACATTTTGGGGTCACTCTGAGCAGCTAGAGACCCCGACAAGGATGGACAGCTGGGGTGTCACCACCCGAGGAGGGGACATGAGCAGGGGACAGGTGTCCCAGCCCTGTGTGGGACCCCCTGCCCCACCTGGGGGGCTGCAGCTCACCTGCCCTGAGCTCCGTAGCAGTACTTGGCGTCTGACACGATCAGAGCCGTCTCGCCCATCTCCAGGAGCTGCACGCACAGGTCCAGAGCCTGCAGGGGACAACACGGCACCACCATGGCAGGGACTGTGGGGGTTCTCCAGTTCCAACCTCCTGCCACGGGCAGGAACATCCTCCACAAAACCAGACGGCTCCAAGTCACCTCTAACTCAGCCAACACCATGGGGAGGGAGCACGAGCAAGGCAGAGGGGCCGCTGTGATCCATAAACACGATGCCACCGATCCCAACCCTCCCTGCGACCCCTGAGGTGAGGTCCTGCTCGCAGGTGAGCCCCCAGCCCGTGCCCACCTGCAGGACATCGCAGTCCCCCAGCGTGAAGGTGAGGGCAGGCTGCTGCTCCACCACGGTGCCATCCTCCAGCGCGGCCTTCAGGCGGATTGTCACGTCCTGGCCCTTCTGGGGACGGCTCTCCACACCCTGGCCCGGCACCAGCGTCTTCTTCTTGAGCAACCCATTCCCTGGGCACGGAGAAACCGGGGGCACATCGGGACGGGGGGCACGGAGAAACCGGGGGCACATCGTGACCGGGGGCACATCGGGACCGGGGGCACACCGGGACCAATGGGGAAGGAAAGCCCGGCTGCCCCCACTGTTGTGCGGCCCCCGCAGCCCCGGGGAGGCCCGAGAGGCCCCGGCCCGGAGCCCCGGCACGGAGCGGCCCCAGCTCTCACCCAGAACATCGAGCCACTCCTCGGGCTCCCCGGCCGCGTCCCCCGCTCCCCGCACCGACGGGTGCGCGTCGTCCCGCGGCGGCGCCGTTGGCCGGCCCACGTCCTCCAGCGGGGGCAGCTCGCTCAGGTCATCCTCATCTTCCTCCCCTTCCTCCTCCAGCACCTCGAAATCCTCCGCCGTGTCCAGCTGGGCCGCGTCCGCCTCGGCGCCGGTGCCCGCCCGGCCCGGGGAGCCGCCGCTCGGTTCCTCCCCGCTGGACGCCATGGCGGCGGAGCGACCTGGAGCGGGGACAGAGGGCGAGGATCGGGGCTGCTCTTACCGGCACCGACCCGGAGAGCGGCGGGACCCTCCGGGAGCGGGGGATGCGCAGCGGGACAGCGGAGACCGGGGAGCGCCAGGGAGGGCTGGGGCCTGGCGGGGCAGAGGCTCGGCTCGGTGGGACGGGATGGGGATGGGGATGGGGTGGGGGACTCTGTCCGGTGGGATCGGGGTCGGGGTCGCGGCCCCGGCCCGGTACCGTGGGGGGGGGCGGCCCCGCCCGCCCCACGTGATCGATGCGCGCCCCCCGCCGCTCCCACCTGGCCCGCGGACGCGCCGGCGCAGGCCCCGCCCCCCACACCTATTGGTCCGTCCCCGCCCACCGCGCGACGCCATTGGGCGGAGAGCACGCTCGTCAGCCGCGCGCCCGCGGCGGCCCCGGCGCCTTAAAGGGGCCGCCAGCAGCGCGGCTGCCCTGGGGCTGCGGGCGGCGGGGCCGGGGGCTCGGCGCCGGTACCGGAGAGGCTCCGTGATGCCCGCAGGGGTCGCGACCCTCTCACCTGGCCGCTCTCCGGGACTTCCGGCTCGGCGCGGTGACGCGGCGGGGTCGCGCCCCACGTGACCGCACACCCGGAAGCGGCGCGGAGCGGCCGCCGGTGCCGCCCCCGGTGCCGCCGCCGCTCCCGTCATGTGAAGCGGCGGGACGGGATCCCGCAGGTGCGCGGGCACTGCTGGGGGGAGGCCCCGGGGACACCGCTGCAGGCCCGGGCCGTGACCCCGAGGGAACGCGGGGCTGGCGGCGGAACCGGGGGCGGCGGGCGGCCGGGGCACCCCCCCGTTACCGGCGTGTGGGGGGCACGGCGGCTGGGTACCGGGCACTGGGCGCACGGCAGGGCGGAGGGGGTCCCGGTATCACGGAGGGGAAGGGGAGGGTCTCCGTTACCGGCGCGGAGGGCTCCGGTGCCCCGGCTGAGCCGCCCCGCGGTCCCGCAGGTCACGATGGAGCCCTCGGCCTCGCAGGTGTTCTGCGGGAGGGTGCTGGGCATGGTCAACGCCGAGGACGTCAACGCCATCATCCTGGCCCAGAAAAACATGTGAGTCCCGGGGGGACAGCCGGTACCGGCACCGGGAGCCCGCCGGGATCGTTCCCGAGCTCCCGGTGCCTCCCCCGCGCAGGTTGGATCGCTTTGAGAAGACCAACGAGATGCTGCTCAACTTCAACAACCTGTCGAGCGTGCGCATGCAGCAGATGAGCGAGCGCTTCCTGCACCACACCCGGACCCTGGTGGAGATGAAGAAGGACCTGGACAGCATCTTCCGCAGAATCCGGTGGGGACCGGGCGGGAACGGGCCCGGGAGGGGGCCGGGAGGGGCGGGGGAGGGTTAGAGCGGGGCACAGTTGGAGTTTGGGCCGCTGTGGGAAGGAAAATCTGGTGGGGAAGGGATAAGATGTGGCCGAGTGGAGGTTGGAGCTTTGGGTTTCCACGACCCTGCTCTGGGGGAGGTCACAAACCACAAAGTGTGGGGTTCAGGAGCGCCCCGCGTGCTGGGGAGGGGGTGTGCTGGGGTTTGGGGTGGGAATGCTCAGCTTTGGGGTTGGTTGGCGCTGCCCAGGGGGCTGTGGGGCTGCCCCGGATCCCTGAGCTCCCCACGGACTGGCATTGCTCTGTCCTCCCCAGGACGCTCAAAGGGAAGCTGGCAAAGCAGTACCCGGAGGCTTTCAGCAGTGAGTGATTGCTGACCCACGGATCTACAGAGCCATGGCACGGTTTGGGCTGCAGGGACCTCACATCCCACCCAGTGCCACCCCTGCCATGGCAGGGACACCTCCCACCGCCCCAGGTGCTCCCAGCCCTGCCCAGCCTGGCTTGGGCACTGCCAGGGATCCAGGGGCAGCCACAGCTGCTCTGGGCACCCTGTGGGAGGAATTCCTGCTCATTCCTGCCCAATATCCCACCCATCCCTGCCCTCTGGCAGTGGGAAGCCATTCCCCTTGTCCTGGCACTCCACACTCAGTTTTCCTCCTGTGGGAAGCCTCTCTGTTCCTGAGGATCCCTCAGGGATCACAAGCCCTGTGCTGCCCTGTGGCTGCTTCCCCAAAAACCCAGCAAACTCCTCAAACCCATTAAATCCACTTGCAAGAGGGGCCTTGGGAACTGAGGAGCGGGGCTGGATCCCAGAGTGGGGGCTGGAACTTGGAAAAAATTCCAAACAACCCCCAGTTTACACCCTGTGGGGGTTTTTTAACCCCTACAAGCTGCAAGCTCAAGCAGGGAATCCCTCTCACCACAACCCTAACCTCTCCCTCCTCCCCCTCAGGCATCCACGAGTCTCCCATCCTGGAGAACTTGCAAGAAATTCCAACCCACCCCCAATTTACACCCTGGCAATTCACTGGGTTCTTTTGACCCCTGCTACAACCACACTTATGGAATCCCTCTCCCCACAACCCTAACCTCTCCCTCCTCTCCCTCAGACATCCACGAGTACCCCATTCTGGAGAAATTGCAAGAAATTCCAACCAACCCCCAATTTACACCCTGTAGGATTTTTTAACCCCTACAAGCTGTAAGCTCAAGCAGGGAATCCCTTTCCCCACACCCCCAACCTCTCCCTCCTCCCCCCAGACATCCACGAGTCGCCCATCCTGGAGGACGACGACGACTTCGACGCCGTCCCCAAGAGCACCACGACCACCATTGCTACCTCGGAGCAGAGCACGGAGTCCTGTGACAGCAGCCCCGGCCTCATCTCCCCCACCACCAGCCAGGAGTTTGAGGATTTGTCGCAGGGCCACTGCGAGGGCCCGGCCCTGAACGGACAGAGTCTCACAGACGAGGACACGGCCACCCTGGACTAGGCCGGGAGCCCCTGTGGAACTTTCTAGCCTGTATTTATAGCTGTGTGTCGCTCTTTTGGGGTTTTTTGGGGTTTTTTTTTTTTTTTCCTGTCTTGGGAAGAGGGAAGCCAAGGCTGGGAGAAGCTGAGGGAGGAGGAAGGGGCTGCCCTTCTTGCTGGAAGGTGTAAAGCCACCTTCAGGCTGGCTTCAGGGGGAATCAGTAAATCCTGGGTTGGAAATGCCTCTTGTCCTCCCTCCTTCCTGCGCTCAGGAGAGCCGCTACGCTTCACCCTCCATGTAGATTTTTCGGTGCAGAAAAGCCGTTTTTGGGGCACAGACGTTTGTGTTCTGTAAGAAATGTCATCTCTGAGGCTCTGTGTGCCCGCCAGCTCTGCCAGGGGTCTGTCCCTGCTGCTGATGGATTGTGCTGGCTGAGTTCTCACTGCTGGACGAGCCAGAGCCGTGTTTCCCTTTGCTTCTCACACTCAGCCCCTCATATGGAGCTGCTGGTGGCTCCACAGGCAGGTTCCCAGCAGCTGGAGCTCTCCAGATCTTTCTGTGGTGTGATGCAGGAACTGCTTGGCTTTGGGGTCCTGAAGGCCTGCGAAGGGATAGAGGAGAGTGGGGGACTGGAGGAATGGCTGCTGGGGCTGATCCTGGAGCTGTGCGACCAGCACGGGGATGGCTCTGGCACTCTGGGGCCGGTCTGGGGTCCATGGTGTCAGCGTGGCCCCAGTCCCGGCACTCTGGAGCCGGTTGTGGGTCCAGTCCTGTGGCCATGGGCTCAGGGTGGGACCGGTCCCAGGGGCAGCGTCGGGTTTGGGAGCCGGTCCCGGGGGCAGTATCGGGTTTGGGGGGCCGGTCCTGGGCCGTGTGATCGGGGTCGGTCTGGTCCCAGCTCCGTGCGGACGCTCCCGTGCCCTGTCCCGCGGTACCGGTGTCACCCCGGCAGCGACAGAACAGTGCCGGGACGGTGTCGGGGCGGTCCCGGGGCGGTGCCGGTGTCCCCGCCGGAAATGACGAAGCCGTCGCGGGGCGGTGCCGGTGTCCCCGCCGGCAGTGACGCAGCCGCGGTTCCGGCCCCGCCTCCCTTTCCCTCAGCAGCGAGGCCGCGGGTGCGCGCGGTGCGGGACCGGAGCGGGCCTGGGGCGGGGGCCCTGCATCCCGGGAGGGGGACTCGGGACCCGGGGAGCGGGGGCTGGAACCCCGGGAGGGGCCCTGGGTCCCCGGGGACGGGACTGGATCCCGGGGGAGGGCCCCGAGACCCGGGGTGGGGCCGGGTCCCTGGAGAGCGGGGCTGGATCCCGGGATGGCGGGGCTGGATCCCGAGGTGGGGGCTGGATCCCGGGAGGGTGCTCGGGAGCAGGGATTTGAGGGGCCGGGGAGCGGCGGGGCCCTGCCCGGTGGCGGCACACGGCCATAACGGGGCCGGCCCGGGGTGACGCGGCCGCCGCTGCCGCAGGTGAGAAGGTGCCAAGATGCAGATCTTCGTGAAAACCCTCACGGGCAAAACCATCACCCTCGAGGTGGAGCCCAATGACACCATCGAGAACGTGAAGGCCAAGATCCAGGACAAGGAAGGTACAGGCGGGGCCGGGAGCGGCGGGGCGGCCCCCGGGGCTCCCCCGGTGTCCCCACCGCGGTGATTGTGTGGTTGATTGTGTGTCCCGCAGGGATCCCCCCCGACCAGCAGCGCTTGATCTTCGCGGGGAAGCAGCTGGAGGATGGCCGCACCCTCGCAGACTACAACATCCAGAAAGGTGCTCCCCGGACCCCGGGGGTTTTGGAGGGCGTTTTTGGGGTGCCAGCTGCTCCTTTCCCCCCGGTGTGACACCGATATCTCCTCGCAGAGTCCACCCTGCACCTGGTGCTGCGCCTGCGAGGGGGAATCATCGAGCCCTCCCTGCGCCAGCTGGCCCAGAAGTACAACTGTGACAAGATGATCTGCCGCAAGTACGTCCCCGTGTCCCCTCCCCGTGTCCCCTCAGCCCCTTCCTGCAGCCCCCAGAGCCCTCCCCGGGGCCAGGGGCTCTGCTGACCTGTGCCCCCCAGGTGCTACGCCCGCCTGCACCCCCGCGCCGTCAACTGCCGCAAGAAGAAGTGCGGGCACACCAACAACCTGCGCCCCAAGAAGAAGGTCAAGTAGAGCCCCCAGCCCTGCCTGCGCTGGCCAATAAAGTATTGCAACGCTCAGCCCCGCGTTCTGGTGGTTTTTTTAGCCAAATTGTGGTTTTCAGGAAATGAGGGCTGTGCTGGAGCAGCATAGGGAGGTGGGGGACACAGAGGAATGGAGGTGGTGGTGCTGGTGGGCAGTGCCCACAGCAATGTGTGCTCAGACTGGGACCCCCTGCCCACCCACGGGACCCCCGGCCATGTGCACACAGCAGATGGACGCTGGGACCACGCACAAACCCCCCGTTAATGCACTGGGACCCCCAGCCATGGGGGTGACTGTCACCAGGACCCCCTGTGCGCCCCTGCTCATGCACTGGGAGTCCTCTGGTCACTTCTGGATGGACACCGGGCCCCCCTACCCCCTTGTTGGGACCCTCAGCCAGGTGTGGATGGGACCGGCTCCGTCCTGGGATCTCCCTGTTCGGTGGCAAACACACCGGGAGCCCCGGCCGCGTGTCCGGGGACCGGCACCGGGACCCTCTGTTCACGGAGCATCCCAGAGGCCCCGCTGCCTCCCTCTACCCACCCGGCCGTGTATTCACTGCACGGACCGGACCGGGGACCGGGGCTGGCGGCGCTGCCGCTCGGGGCCTGCAGGTGGCGGCGGAACCGCGCTCCGCCCCGCGGGCCCCGGGCCTGCGCCGTGCGGCCGGGCCGGGCCGGGCCATGGTGAGCGGGACGGGAGCGGGAGCGGGAGCGGCCCCGGGGGGCGGCAGGGGCGGCCCGGGACAGCGCGGGGTCACGGCGGGGTGGTGGATGGGGGGTCCCGGTGCCCGTGTGTGCTGCGAACCGGGGGGATCCCGGTGCCGCTCCGCGGGCACGTGGCCGGGGGGATCCCGGTGCCGGTCTGGGCTGTGTGAGCACGGCCGGGGGTCCCGGTGCCGGTCTGGGCTGTGTGAGCACGGCCGGGGGTCCCGGTGCAGCTCCGGGGCTGTGTGAGCACGGCCGGGGAGCTCCCGGTGCAGCTCCGGGGCTGTGTGAGCACGGCCGGGGGTCCCGGTGCCGGTCTGGGCTGTGTGAGCACGGCCGGGGGTCCCGGTGCAGCTCCAGGGCTGTGTGAGCACGGCCGGGGAGCTACCGGTGCAGCTCCGGGCGCTCACAGAGAGCGGTCCCGACGCACGCACGGGCAGGATGGGGGTCCCGGTGCCCTTCGGTATCGCGGGCACTGTCCGGGGGTCCCGGTGTCAGCGCGGTTCGTGCACGGGTGGCCTGGGGGCCCGATGGGTGGGCAGGGGGATGTGAGGGGTCCCGGTGCCGCCTGTGTTGTGTGCGCAGGGCCGGGGGCTCCCGGTGCCGGGCTCAGCTCCAGCCCCGCGGCCGGAACCCACCGGGGACCCCCAGAACCGGTGCTGGGCCAGGACGCGTTGCCCCGGCGCTGGGGTGATGCCCTGGGCGGTGCCGCCTCTGCCCGGTGCCGTTACCGGCTCACCGGGGCCACCGCGTCCCCTGTGTCCCGCAGACGGGCGAGGCCGTGCGGGAGCTGCTGCAGCGGCTGCGGGAGCTGCAGAGCGAGCGGGTCGAGACGTACCGGCTCTTCGAGGAGTGAGTACCGGCACCGGGGGCGGCACCCACCGGGGCGGGCGGGGCACCCCCAGCAGGGAACCGGATCCCCGTCCCGATTGTTTTGCATCCTGTTGGGACGGGGCCGTGGGGATGGCTGATGAGCTCCAGCTGGCAGCGGGGCTCTGCGCTGGACACCTGAATCCTATTTCAGCATCCAGCGCAGGATGGACTTCCTGGGATGCAGGGCTGAGAGTGTACAGGATGGAAAAACCCAAACCCCCGGCTTTCCCTCCCAAAAAAAGCAGTTTCCAGCCCTGTCCCGTGTGAGGGGCGAGGCCGCCCGCTCGTGCTGCCGAACCCAGCGGGACCAGGCAGGCAAACCCCGCGGGTGGTGGGCGGCAAAGGGGGCTCAGCTCCAGGATCGGCGACAGCGGCTTCCCCCCCTCACCTGTCCGCAGGGGCCACCGGGCGTACCTGGGCAGCGCCCCGCACTATGACTTCCCGCGGTACCGGCAGCTGGTGCACGAGGTCACGGTGGCGTTCAGCGGCATCTCCCGGGAGGTGCTGGCCATCGCCGGCCGCCTGCGGGACCAGCTGGGCCGCCCCGAGCTGGCGCAGCACCTGGCCCGGCTCCAGGACAGGGAGCAGGAGAAGCTGCAGCTGGTGGGTGCTGGGCTGGGCTGGGCTGGGGGGGGTCCCTGGGGCTGCCCTGGGGGGTCTCAGCTCCCATGGTGTCCCCACAGACGGCGCAGCTGCAGCTGGCCCGGCAGCAGGCGCAGGAGCAGCCCGAGGTGGACGCCCATCAGCAGGAGGTGCAGGAGCTCAAGCACAAGTAGGTGGTGGCCCCGCTGCTGTGCCCCCTCATTTTGGAGCCCAGAACCCCCCATGCCATCCCCTCCTGCCCCTGTTTGGGGATGGCACCCCCTCCCCAGCCCGCGGGGTGTGCTGAGCTGGAAGGGACACACACAGACCGTGGAGCCCAGGCCCAGAGCCCCTTGCCTGCCTCTCCCTGCGGCCCAGGGGGGCCCAGATGGTGCCGTCGGGGTCTGGCGGCGCTGCGTGGCCGCGTCCCCTCGGCCTCCCCAGGCTGAGTGTTTCATAAACAGCGCGGGGAAGGCGAGGCGGCCCACATAATACGCTCCATATGGGCTTTATTTATAGTTTCCATCCGCTCTCGTAGGCTAATTAAAACCATTGAGGCAATCAGCGAAATTCTCCAGGACCTTAAGTACGATTCGGAAGAAGTTGAGTGATGGGTGTCCCCGTGGGAACGGCTGCAGGGGCCGGCCTGCTGCAGCGGGGGCCCCGTTCGTCCCCCGCCCGCCCCCGGCGCACCTTGGCAAGGTGGGCATTGTCCTCTGGGCCCCTTCTCTGCAGCACAGGCTGGAGGGGTGCAGGAGCTCCCTCTAGGATGAGAGGGGTCCCCCCAAATCCTGAGTGCCCCTCAGCAGAGGGGTCCGGCCTGGGGCTGGTTCCC